TGTAGTTCACCTGTTTCCCAATAGCACCAGGAAAAAAGATTCTTTATTTTAGGAGGTACTGAGAGAAAATAATAAAGAAGTAAAGACGAGCATGGGCAGATTAAATAATGAGTCATAAATGTTATTAAAGATTATATCTGCCTCTTACTGTACTGTACTTACTACCGTCTATCCATCAATTACACCAGCTTTCCTTAGAAAGTGATGTTAGTGGATGCATTACACACACAAATGACTCACTAGTTTCATAACTAAGAATTACAGGAATATTGTCAGGTATCTGCTGTGTGCATGCTCATTAAGCTATTGGCGGTAAGCTATCATTACACTTACATGCACAAAAGCATAGATGAAAGGATGAATAAATGCTGTATATGCACACACAGCAGCAGAAAGAGAGAGGGCTGCACTGTATTTAACAGTTTCCTGCGCTCCAACGAGCACATTTCATTGGCTCTCTGATGTACTTAAGTGTTGTAAGTGTGACCTCAGCACCTCAGGTTCTTTAATTCTCAGTGTTATTCCAGCTGGTTCCTAGAGAGGACTGTAATTAAGAGCACTGATAGCACCATCCTCACTATCACAGACACACTCGTCTGCATCGTGATCTGGCACACACACCACTTTACTCTCCCATATTTCCCTGCACTATCTCGTTTAATAATGTCACTTATTCCGCAATATCTATCTGAAATTTGCCAACATTAGCTATCTACTTTTTAATTAAACGCTCGCTACAGTTTTGCAACACATGCATACCCTTTCACACACAGACACACACATTCTCTCCTTCACAGAATATCATACTCACACAGTGCTGTGCTCTCATTCTACTTTTGTCTCATTATTTTTCACACATTTCATTTAATTCCACGCAGAATATTACACATAAACTCCTTTTGTCTTAGATGCATTACCATACTATCCACACACACCATTATATTAATTCACACATCACCCACCGTTCTCTCTCCCACAAACAGACATTCTTTCTCCTTACAATCCCACTCACACACACAATAATCCTCTTTTATAGACAACATCAGTATTCCTCATACGAAGTAGAGTTCTCACATTCATTATGGAGAAATAGAATATACGTAGGAGAGTACTGTTGTGTGTGTTGGCGAGTATAGAGGTGTATGTGTGGGATTATAATGATATGTTTGAGGAAAAGTGGGATTTATGGCCTAAAGACCCCTTAAGTACACACACACAAGTATACAGGTAGTCATGTGGGCAAAAACACAGAATCAACATACACACAGATTTGAATACACAGATGAAAATGTTTTATACACACAAGAGATGTGTTTTCCAGAGACAAATCACTTGTGACATTATTGCCTCAGAGCACTTGAGCACAGAGGTAAGTTGTATACATGCAACTTTATGAGGTTCACTTGAGTAATGTAGTTTACTTTAGTGATATATGGGCTGTTTTCATAATTCCTCCGCTTGTATTAACATGAGATGAGTGTCATGTCACTATTACATTACCACAACACGTGAGTGTGAAGCATAGCTTGTTGACCTTGGAATCCGAGCTCATCCTCCCACCTCTCCAATGCAGTCGTCACTGACACCTAACGGGTCCGGACTATTGTTTTTATTCCCATGATCTTGTTTTTGCATTCCAGTCTGCCATCAGCAGCGAGTTATAGAACAAACACAAACACACACACTCTCTCTCTCTCTCTCTCACACACACACACACACACACACACACACACACACACACACACACACACACACACACAAAATAAATCTCTCATGCTTTAGACCACACAATATGTACAAAGTGGTTTGGTATCTCTATCTACAACGTGTATTGTCTAGGTCCTGGTAGATAAGCTTGTTTTATTGAAGAATGTTATGTCAAAGTCCAACTTTGTTGTTATGAGTCAAACTACCAGTTTTATCCTTGTGCCTGGAAAGATTGTGTTTACTCCTGGTTTGTTTTACAGGTGACAGAAAGAAAAGAATGGCTGGTCAACTGGCTGAAAACACCTCGTCCTCAACAAAGAAAAGCTGCAGGTAGCTAAGGTCACCCAACACTAAAACATTCAGCTTGACACTAAAATAAACATCCCACACATTATGGCGCCAGGTCTTATCAGGTAAACTTTTCCATTGTATTGTACTTTCGTAACACACCTCCTTACCCTTGCACAGACAACAATATGACCTCTAAGATGATAAATAGTGGCTTATATGTATGTTTTCTGCTAAATTTCCTGTATCTCATGACTATAGGCTATACAAGGCTAATGAGAAAAGATTTTCAGAAGGAGGCATGCTTGGTTTTCAACAAACCTAAAAAAGATATAATGGAAATAATTTGTCTTTCAAGGAAATGTTCCGCCCTGAGCAATCATAAAACGTTTGATTGTTCTTTTAAAAAGCTCACAGGAAATTAGGTTCTTAGGAAACAATGTCCATCCTATAAAATGATACTACTGTAAATCTTCTAACAGGGACATTTCTGAGAGCTACTCTTCCAGGAAGGTATTTCATCAAACTCATGTTTGCCAATTTGCCTCATGGGGCTTTACAATCTGTAAAGCATATGACACCCTCTGTCCTTAGACCTTCAACTCTAATAAGGAAAAACTCCCCTCAAAAAACCAAAAAGAGTGAAAAAAGGAAGAAACTCATCATAGGCTTCATATCATAACATGCAGCCTCAGCTCTGTTTGTGTGGTGGAGTACCGTACATAACAGTGCCATCTTCATCAGATAGCACAATGACACTGTCCTCATCAGATAGGATGTGTACATATCTTATGCGCACATGTGTGCTGGACTGATAAATAAGGTATGTATTTACTGTTGTTTATGTGAGGAGATGCACAAAAATCACGCCTACACAAACATAGCAAGGTTCCCTCATTTGGCAATGAAAGTGGGCCAGCCATCCACCAGTAGTTTCAGTCAGTTTTTCATGGATTAGTTTTAGGGTTGATGTCTTTGCTTATTCAATGACCCACCTGGCTTGGCACATCCTAATCCCTGAAAAGCAGAGAGAGAAAAAAGGGGACGCAAGATTTATCCAAACAGGAACATGCAAACTAATGCCTTTCACAGACTCATATCAGGACCCAATGTGCCCACTTGCAGCCTAATGGCTGCAGCTAGTGCATTCACTGACTGTCATTACTATGGGAGATTTTGAAATATGCATAGCAGTGAGGCTAGGGGGGGCATGCTTGGACTTGAGCATACTAAAGAGCCCATTAATCCTTTTTAATTCTATTAAGAATTGGACTACAGCTGGATAAGAGGCCAGAGTTCCAGCGACTACGTCTGTAATGCCTTGGAGACCCACAGCAAAAAGCACTTACTTAACAAAAAATTCATTTCCAACCAAATTTCTTTTCCTCTTCACAGTGGAATCAATTTACAGCCTTGAGCAGCATTTACTGTAGTTGGTAGTAAACAAAGATAGGTAGGAATTTTGTATGTTTTACAACTCCATCAAAAAGGCTATTTCTTCACTTCAGGCAGAGTTTCGTAAGTGGAATTCGGCAGAGCTGCACATGCCTGTTATCAGTGTCAGACGTAGAAATCATGTATAACACAAGTGTTCGTTCCTCAAACATGAAGAGATATGCAGGTGAGCTACGTGACTTCCCCAGCACACTAATCTGTATGTTGATTTGGATCAGCATGGCATCTGCCTTGCTATTTTTGCACCTGTCCTTTTCCACAAAAAACCATAATCTTATCAGGGAATCCCCAAAGTTAAGTATGAGGAAGAGGGAGAAAGTGGGTTTAGTTTTCTTTCACAGTGAAGCGTGTGGACAGTAATGGCTTTCACCTGTTGAGATAAGAGTTCAAATGAGCCCTATTCTAAATGGCCACAGTGCCTGGCTACTGTTCCTACTATGTGCACAGTTACAGCAGTGTAAATAGTGAGGCCCTTCTGCCTGGCCCGCAGTAATCTGAACATACAGAATGTGACTCTGCTTGTCGACCCCCGTTCATTTTCATTAGAGCCAAAGGGTACGCGAGGAGGACGCCAGTCACAGTGTAAACGAGATGTCATGTTTGACAGGGTGTGTAAGTTCAGCTCAGTGGAGCAGCCTGCCTCTCGCTCAGCTCAGTCACACACACCTAAACATAAGACAATAACAAGGAGTGAGGCAGACACAGATAGACAAGAACCTGTCACACAAGCACAGGCATATACGTTGCTCTGGAATGAAATGTGTCTCCTTAGTTACAGTATTATGAAACAAAACAGGCCTGAAAACCACAATCACATTCCTTCCCACCCCGACACCCCACACCCATCACCCTCTCTACCATATCTCCCGCCCCATCTGCTCTGCCAACTGCTCCATTACTCCTTTCCTTCATTACTGGACCACTTTTCCTGCTCGTCTGTCCCCCTTACCTCAGCGTTATGTACAAAACCATTACTGAAGCTTTCCCTCTCTCTCATTTGCCCTCTCTGTCTGATCTTGGCTGCTTTTTATTCTCCTCCCTCCGCCTGGAAGTGGATCAGAGAGAGAGAAAAAGAAATGAAAGAAAATGCCTTAGACGTCCCAACCTGTATCTGGCTAAGCATCTCCATGGTAGCATGACCCCATGAAACAGCCCATCATGCTTCACTGCACTCAAAAAGGACTGAGAGCAGGGAAGGGGCAAAGTAAGGAAGGGTTTGAAGGGGGGAGAGAGAGAGAGTCATAATAAAGGAAACTAGGAGAGCACTGGAGTGGAAGCTTCCAAACACATCACTTATCATTTCAGTGTTTACTTTTTGTTTCAGCCCAGATTTTCTTACCTCCTCACAGACTGATATCCTGTTTCTAAAAAAAACTGACTTACAAATGGCTTATTTTATGAACTATGCTTAGCCAGAGACAAGCGAGGTGACATAAATATTGTGACACTGAGATTAAGTATGCGTGAGTCGGATAGACATGAGAGGGAGTGTGGTGCATTCCTTTTCCGTTTGCTGACACTAGAAATAATAGAGGACAGAAGAGGTTAAAAACATTCAACATTCATTTTATTGGTTTGGTTTTTTGAGTACAGTGGTTATTTCTGCCTTTCTGGCATTCACAGACAAAACAAACAAATAACAATAACTGGGAGCACAAAAAATATAGCTTTCTGATAATATCTGTGGCTCAGTCTAGTAGTTACAACAGATACAATAGTAACTCTCCGTACCTGATCAACACAAACGTAAATACAAACACTTAATAAACATGTAAAAACGGTCCAAAACTGGAACTAATACTTTTGAAATTCTGTGTGGTTTATAAAATGAAATAGCTATTTACATTCAATTTGAATAATTATCATTTCAAGAAAAAACATAGTGTATGAGTCTGACATTAACAAAAATAAACACTGATTATTCAAAGTTGTGATAAAATATATAATATTGATTATAATTAGAAGGTTCCATTATGTACGTTCAAGTGCTATTAATAAAGATGCACAGGAGAGCCGCTGGGGTCGCAGCCATGTCGGCTCTCCTGTCAGAGTGGCATAAATCAAGGTGCAGCTCAGAGAGTCCAGGGGCAAAAGTAAAAGGTTACAAAATTCAGTCAAACCTCCACCTCTGAGACACAGTCAAAGTGGTTAGTACAGAAAGGTGATAGGGTAGGTAAGTAACTTGGTCAGATTCCTCCCCATCACTACCTTAGTTACACAAAAAAGAAAGATAACATTGTCTTACAGCACAAATACTGTTTGTTTTCTCTGCTTATGCACAGGCTGTTGTTTAGTCATAGTGATGCAGGGCAGTCTGATTACAGCAGTGGCTCATCAGGCCACTGAAGGTAAAATGGTTAGAAGCCAGTGCTTGTTCATTATCACTGTCAGTTCTGTCACTTGGTACAGAGCCATCTTTTATATCTGAGGTCTGATGGTCTCAGTTCACAGCTGCTGGGTGATGTTTTCCAAGACTAGCAGAGGATCAAAAACAAAGAGGAGGCTGCAGTTTTTTCCCTCTCTCACCCAAGACCAAAAAGTGACCAGTTTTACTAAATTCACTGACCAAATGCCTCCATAACAGAAGAAAACAGTTAAAACTGGAAACTATTAACATTAGCAGCTTCTAAAAAAATCCTCTTGAAAAATATAAATTTTTTATTTTATTTTTTTCATATATAAAAAAATATCTGTAATATTACTATGCAGTTCTTTTCACTGGACGGGTTTGACTCACAGTCAAATGTGCTTCTTGTATTTCACATGTGTGAGTGTGTGAACATGTTAGATTACTGTGTGAATGTATGTTTGCATGTGTATCAGTATGCCCGAAAGAGCAAGCATGTGTTAGATTGTAATCTTTAATCATATCCTTCTCTAAGAATGATTCCCTTAATTAAAGATTGAAGTTTCTCCCTTCTCTCTGCCCCTCACCTGTGCTATCTGACATTCTCCCTGTCTTTCTGCAGTCCATCTTCTCTTATCTTCTGATTCCTAGAGTGATTGCATGCATCTGCTAACAGACAGTTTGCTGGCTGGACAGTGGACTCTCCATGGACGTGCTAGTGGGAGACAGGTCTGGACGGGTGCAGGGCTTAAACATGGAGGAGATGTAGAAGGCCTGCAGGCACAGACACAAAATATGTCAGGAACTATACACAGACCACACACGCTGTCAATCATTCACTGTTTATAAAGACCATGAGAGATCACAGAGAGGAAAATGAGGGAGAGAGAGCCTATTGTTTAAGCTAACTCAGTCAACAGAGAGCAGAGAGAAACACATCCTGTGAAGACAGAGATAACTCAAGACTATTTAGATAACAGTGATTTTTGACTTACCACCCAATATGCAGTGAGGCCTCCTTGGATATAGCCTGTGAGGACATCAGTGGGGTGGTGACGGTAGTCAGAAATGCGTGTCAGGCCGGTGTAGATGGCGATCATCACTAAGAGGAACTGTATTAGAGGGCGCAACAGCCGAGCTCCTCGCCATGACAACCGCGCCTGCAGGTAGAACTGCAGGAAAGAAGAAAAATATTAATACATAGTTAATAACTTTATAATGACTAAAGAAAGTGAATATATGCATGATGTATTGTAATTCAACTTCAATAAACACAGGCGGAGCCCTTTATGTGAAACATTCGACATCCACTCAGCCTGCTACCCAGAGGGGAAAGAAAAGCTTGGCATGAGTCCATTAACACTATCTAAACCCCATTTCCTCCTTTTGTTCATCCTCATCTCCTGCACCAGCGCTGCAGTACAGAATGGATGTTTGTGTTTGTAAAAAAAATGGGGTCACAGGGCGAGTGTGATGCAGCTTTATGAGGTGGCTGGAGGTCTGTCTGGACCCGTCAAGCACTGGGGAGCACGTGGCCTACATTCCTGCGGTGAGACCGACCCTCACCGGGTCCTTCTATCCCTTTCCTATCCCAACTGAGAGCAGGTGTCACAGTTTCTGCCTTAAACACAAGCATCTGGCCATGGCCCGGGTGGCATGTTTCTACAGGTTTGACACAGTCTCTCCAGGTTGTCTACAGTCTGCTCAAAACACTCGCTAGCAGCAAACTTGCATGCAAGGCTGTGTGTTTGTGGTGTGTATGTGGAGAAACAATGGAGTGAGACGTGGAGAGGAGAGAAAACAAATAACAAACACTGCACTGAGGCCCTTGTTTTTCTCAGACAACTTCTTCCCTTCAGTTCTTTACCCTTTTATTCCTTTTATTCAGTCTCACCCTACTCGTCCTTGTCTGTCTCTTTCTGGTCAGACAGGAGCTGCTTTTCATTTGGACTTCTATAGTACACAAGTGCAAATAGGCGAGGCATTGATTTTCTTTTCTCCTCGCTTTGAAAATACACACACTATTTCATTAACTTCATTAGCTGTACACAATAAAATATTTCAGTCACCTAAAATTTATCAATATCATTTAACAGTTAATGACAGGCAAAACATGAGAAATATGTACATTTTTTGTTTAAGAATGTGCTTTTGTCTCCCTCTAACTGTCATTTCTCTCCCACAATGTACCCATGACTACTGGGTAGTGCAATGTGAGAAAGATGAAGAGATGGGGGAGGCTGGGAGGGGGGGGGTATGAGAGGGTGTCTCTTGCTGAAAGAAGCCTGTCGATCTCTCAGCAGGCATATTCAGCCCTCAACCCCCTCCTCTAAATGAGACCCACAACAAGGCCTCCTCTGTCTGCAGAGTCTCTTCATCTATTCACGTTCCCCCTGGAAAACATTCTCCCTCATTCTCCAACCCCCCCCCTCCTCCCTGTTTCTCTGTCTCACCATCTCTTTCAGTTTGAAGCAGGATGCCTTTGGAGAATTGCTGCTCTCAAAGATCTCCTCCCTTATGATCAGGAAGAGTGAATATATTTGACAGCACATGTCTTGGTGTGTGTTTGCGCATGTTTAATTAGCTTATCTAGTTAATGTGTGTTCTTGGCCTCTAGGGATTGGTGTTTTATCTAATAACTGAAACAAAAGTGAGAGCTGTAATATCTCCCCAACATTGTAAACACAGTACCAAATACTGTAGTTACACAACACAAGCTCAGGTAAATGTGAAGGTCACATTCCAGATGTGTTAGTTTGTGTGTTTGTGAGTGTGTGTGTATTTATAAGTAGATGTGACTTACTGCCAGATAGAGCATGGTGTACATTGCGAAGGAAGCATGGCCGGAAAAAAAAGACTTCCTGAAAGAGAACATCAATAAAAGATGCCGAAGGTTACATATTAACTGTATGAGTCGCCACCTTTAGTAAACAAGCTAAATCAATATGGAGTAAAAATACTCATGCACACACACACCACACACCTTGCTTCCTCCACCATCTTCTGACTAGACTGCCTGCAGGTGACCTGGGACACGTAGCTGCCCGGAGTGCAGTTGATGGATTCATAGGTGATGTTACAGACAGACAGGAAGTTGGGTCGCAGGCGTCCCACACTTAGCTTGGCCATATTGGTGAGAGACTGACCCACACAGCAACCAAACAGGAAGCTTCCCAGCTCCTTGTAAAGGCACGACACATAGCAGTTTCGAACAAAGGCCCGCGAGTGTACACCTCGGAAACGCACCCGGTAGCATTCACCCAGTGCAATCTGAGAAGAAAAGAAGACAAGAGAAACTGGTTAACACAAAAACAAACACATGCTCTATTACATCACATTAAAGAGATGACAACTTTGACTCATAATGCAAATAAATGTCAGCTCTTCTTGTTTTACCGTTAGGCCAGTGATGGCTATACCACCAGCAATGAGCAGGCTGTCAGGGATGGCCTCGCTCGGCACGAAGGGATAGGTGATGCTGGAGTCTCCACAGAAGAAGCCTCGCTTGTACGGAGTCACCGCCTTCAACTCACAGGCAAAGAATGGGATGGAGGCTGATGAGATGTGGGAGAAAGGGAGGGGAGTCAGACAAAAAACAAAAGATGGCTTGATGAATGTCTGTGAGCATGTGGTCTGTGCAACCAAGATAACAGAGAGAGACAGACAGACAGAAAGAGCGAGATACAGTGATACTCCTGTCTTGCAGGAGCATGAAGGGAGCAGCTTTAAAGAGTGTCAGTCATCTGGTGACATGATTTCTAGATTCCCGGGAGATAAAGCATTCCACACATAGCTGCTTCCACCAGAGGATCAGAGAGAAGGAGAGCTGACAGACAGAGAGATGGGTATGACAGTGGAGAATTAGGATGAGGAAGGAGGAAAAAGATATTAGAGGGAATGTTGAAACACAAAAAATGTCATTGTGCCAAAAGAGGACAATACACCCACTGTAGGAGGAGCAAGGTATTGTTTAACAATGACACTTTGTTTCAGTGACTTTTAGCTCAATCTATCCAATCTTACATTAACAATTGTCCTACTTATGTGTTTACTGTGTTTCCTGGTTGGTGACCAATTATAAGAACTCCGTATCAGGTGAAAGGGGGTCAAGGTCTGGCACACTTAAGCAAACAGACCTCACAGCCTGATGGTGAAAGTTCACTGGGGCAAAAGTTGCACAACATTTTAATGATGACTAAAAAGGAGATGGTGCATTTCTATCCCCAGAGAAACAGGCCCTGCCTGCTCCATTTCTTTGTCTCTTATCCCATGTCCCCTTGTCACCCCGTGGAATGCAGCAAGAACATGGGGCTAATCATTAACCTCTGTGCCTCTTCCTGTCATCCCAGGCCTGCTGGTTGGTTGGAACGCACCCAGGCCAAAACACTGCTCCTGCCAGGGAATCTCTCAGACTACGTGACTGAGTAGTGCACAGGATACACACTCAAAATCAGGCCAAAAGGAACAACACACTTAAACCCACAAACAATGGCACGCAAACATGCAACAAGCAAATCAACAATTATTGCCTGATTAAGGGTGGGACATGAATGCCTGACCTACTAGAGGTAACTATGTGCTCTTTAAGATTTGTCCACACTGGCTTTGTCTCCGCTTTATTCTCTATGTTTGCTATCACAACCCTACAGTCCACTAATAAAGCACTCATATCGCTCATTCAGCCTCACTGAACTGATAAACAAATGACAAGGGAAATAATCTGTAGGTTTGAGTCTATCAGCACAATAAACACATGAAGAGGCAACTGTGGGGCTATAGCCGAGACATAGCCAGACTCGATTAAGAAAGTTATACTGTAGTCAAAAGCGTGTGTTAGTGGCCTCTGTAGTCAAAGTCATGCTGCCCTAAAAGAAAGACAAAACAGAGATAAAATCCAGCCCACTTCCATATAGTGGGGGGGAGGGGTCTTAGTAAGACAGCGAGGGAGGGAAAGAGAGACGGAAACACGTTGCAGGCAGATACCAGAGGCTGTGACGCCAACAAAGAGAGAGAGGGAGATAGGAAACACCTCTCATCTGACCCTGATCTCACACTCATCTCATTCAGTCACCACGTCTACAGGCATCTCCTCACACACACCTTCAAAAATTCAGCTCAGTCACGTACTGATGTACCTAATGTAATGTTCACATACAGGTCCCATTCAGGTGCTATCTGTTTTTTTTATTTTTATTTTTTTTTACACAAGGGAATTCATGACCATAGATCTAGTCATCATCTATCTTAAAGTTCAGGTGTTGTCAATGCCTTTATAACAGTTGAATGGATTATTATATTACACTATATTATATTATATTACATTACATTATATATCATGTAATGCAATGCTATTAATTCAGTAGTAAAATTTGATATTGTGGACCATAGTTACATTACATATCCTTAGGAGTAATATTACAGAAAGCTTAAAGTAATTCTGATTAGTTTATATTAGCTAAGATGGGAAGAGTCCCTTTTCTTTTGTTAATTTAAAACTGAATACCTGTATGAGGGTTTCTTGTTTCCTTAATGCCACCTGCATAAAATGCACACACATCTCCTAATCTTTTAATCGTAATCCCTTTATCTGTGTTTGCCATACCTTGGTGGAGACCTGCAGAGATACGGTCTGGTTCATCTCTGGTTCAAACTAAGTGGGTGTGTGGTTTTTTTTCCATTTGGTTATAACATGTTTTCACTGAAAAAATCATCCAACACACAACACAGCCAACAGTTGCAGCTTGCTAGCTTGACAGGTGTGAATATATGTGCATGTGCATGTGTTTGTACCATGTGTGTATATCAGCATGGGAGAACATAATTATTGTCTTGCAGATTAGTGTGTGTGATGAGATAAAATAATCAGTACGCACTGTAAATGTAATATTCAATGTAGTACAGTATTACTCTAATAAAGTAATAATGGCAAATTGACAATTGATTAGGGGATAAAAGTTTAAATGTACAGACTGTATAATCACTGCTAGTTCTCATTATACTACAAGGAAGCCGCTTTTTTCACAATGTCTTTTATATCCAAAAGTGAATAAAGCAATTAAGGGCTGACGGCGCTTTGTGAGCCACTTTTACATGGGCCCGGACATGCTGCATTTTCTGCTGAAATGTGTTTTTGATTATAGTGCTCTTTATGTGCTAAAATGTTGCAACATACAGTACAGCACTTGACATTTATTCTGCCATAAATGAACTGCTTTGTAATCATTTAATATCAGTTATGTGACAAATAGAGACCTTGTACTGCATTCTATACCATCCATTAACAGGCTTTCCCTGTGTGCTCATCAGATTCCACAATATGGGCAGTCCTCCCGCAATAATCAATATTGTGCTGCATTGACAGAAAGATAATGGACACATTTTCCATTAAGGACCAAACACTCTGCGGTTACAGTGTGAACATGGGCTTCTTAAGGGATCATTTTCAATACATATGGAGGACTAATGGGAACCATGAAGTGCTGAGCCTGATAGCAGCATATTTTACGACCTCAGGACTGCCAGTATATGGTTTGTGTTGTTTTCCCATTTTTTGCAAGTCCATAGACAGACTTCACACTAATGGCCAGGTACCAAAGATCACTTCACAGTTTGCAAGGCTTATCAATAAAATAAAGCTACCAATTGGACCTCAATCTGAATTAGGTCACAAATTCCAAGTGATTTACAATAAATAAAAAGTACAAGTTCTAGGAACCAAAGTTAGTCAGAATCTTGTACAGTGCCATACAAATTACAAGCTCCTGCGTCACAGTCAACCTCTATGCTTTACAACTACATTAAAACAGTTTTCACAACAAGACACAAAAACACTCCAGAGACCCTAACATCATCTGTCAAGCAGCTGTGAGCAAACCTCTGCACCTGGCCAAGACATGCTCAAAAGAGAGCCAGGCCAGGAAAGCTTGTGAGGGGACCCAAAAGGAGGCGGAGGAGTGGGTCGGCTCACACAGCCAGGCCAAAATGTGCTGCTCGCTGGGCCTGACACTCAAAGCAGGAATGCTTTCAAATAGTCAAAAGGGGTAGAAAGAAAGAAGGGGTGGGGGGAAGAGAGGGAGGGAGGAAGGAGAAGAGGAGGAATGAGAGCAGAGGGGATATGAGCCTCACTCTGAGAAACTCTTCTGGTTCTAATTTACACATCTATGACCACAACCCAGAATGAGCTCACTGTGAGAGGAGAACAACAACAACTAAAACCAAGAAATTAAAAAAAAAAACCTATGGAGAAAGTGATTACAGGCGGAGTGCAAAAAAAACAGGCCAGATGATAGTTACTCAACAACATCCTCTGCAGTCATATTGCTAAACATCTGCTGATCAGTACAGAGTCAAACTAAAAACTAGGCTAAAATGCATGGCCAGAAGGCAAGAACATTGACAAATGGGGGTGAGGGCAGTAATACTGGGGTGAGAGAAAACTGGACAGATGGAGCCAAGAGAGATGGGAAGGGTTTCTCTACAGAGAACAGCAGACGGAGGCGATTAGTGGTGGTTCTGGAATGTGAGGGTCAGAGATCCGGGCTCTGCTGGGACCCGCTCTGTAAACACGACCCCACCTCAACTAGCAGAATACCCCCCAACTCACATACACATAAAAACCACACTGGGTTGCAAACAAACCAAAGCCACAGCCACATAGTCTTAACAGACAACCAAACAAACCAAAAACCAAAAACCTCACCGGCACCTGGAAGAAAAACTAACCAACCAAATAAACCATGCTAGAGCCAAATAATCCTAAATGCATGCATTGAGGCAAACAGCGTGTTCACTAACACAGAACTAACTGATCTCTTGTTGATGCTGCGGCTGCTGACGGACAAACAGCCTGTGCATCCTCATAGATTAGCATGATGCTCTGCCTAAAGCTATATCTAAGTCACAATAATGGCCATCTGCTTCATCACACTCGATAATGTCTGACTGTACAGGCCTTGCTCTACATTTGCCCTATGATAGAACTGGAGGACAAACAATTGGTGACCTGTCAACACAGGTCCATCTGGCCTGAAGTTTAGGAATGGGCTGAGCCTGGGCTGTAGCCAAGCTTGCTACAGCACCCTTCAGGGGTGGTCCACCCTCGCTGGGCCCCTCACCAGCTTGAATGTGCCAGTTTTTCCCAACTAAATTTTAAGCTGCTTGTTTACCTTCAAATCAAACTTGCAAAAAAATAAAATACTAAGCTAGTGAACTGAACTGTGAAGTGTTGGAATTTAACTTTTTTTCCAGCATGATAATCCCTGGTAACAGCAATACAAGAAGCGGTGTGACAACCTGCCTGATAAGCTTATAAACAGCAGTCTGCAGTTGGGCTGGGTGGGCTTGTATGACTTTAACTGCACAAAGCTGTCTCCGTAAGCTAGCCTCGGTCTGCTCTTTCATCTAATCGCTATTCAGTTTGAGTAAGGTACTTTAAGAGCAAAGCCAAGGCTTTTATGTTTCACCTGATATAAAACAGTCTTTGTTTGAAGAGGCAGTCCGGGAAGAGACTGCATGCACCATCACACAGGCTCAAGCATTCAAAAGAACAGAGACA